TCATTTGGAAATAGAAAAACGTCACTTCTGGAATTCTTTTGAAGAAGAGATATAAAGTTGGCAGTCAGGAAACACTGAGGAGGGCCAAGGTAACTGAAATCTTTGTTACTATTATGTATGTTATACAAACAACAATAACCATATTTATACATGACTATTCTTAAGTGTGCCTTCCAATTTCATTAAGTTACTATTTCAATCAATACATCTGTAGTTTTGAGGGGTCAATTTGTTTACTCACTTTATTTCCAAAATGTCTTTACTCTTTAATCCACTTTTTGCATTTGTAATATTTAAATGTTAATCATTCTCACTGGTTGTACTGACTGACAACTCTACAGTTCAACTAGAGTTCAACTATCCTGAACTCTAAAATTAAAATAAGTGGGGAAAACTCCCATACGATATAACATCTGTCTCTAGTATTGTGCAGCATATTGACTCAGAGCCTCACTGCAGTGTTCTATTCTCTCTCCATATCCATCTCAGAACACCTGGCAATACTGAGATAAACACACCTCCATTTTGTGTCAACCTGTTGTCTTCTGTTATTATACATGTTTTCTTAGCGACTCAGTAAGTCAGGTGATTGAGCCACATGTAAGGACCATGGACCGTCTTCTAAAAGTTCACTGCCCCTCCCCATCTCCCACCATCTTACTTATTCCACTTTCATCTCATTGAGATTGGGGCAGGAGTAACAAAATATGATATAGTACAGTCAAATCCAGAGTAAACACAGTATACCTAAGTGGATCTTTCAAGAAGATGTTATTTCAGTTTATATGTAACCATACACTACATGACCAAAGGTATGTGGACACCTGCTCGTCGAACATCTCATTCCAAAATCATGGGCATTAATATGGAGTCGGTCCCCCCTTTGCTGCTATAACAGCCTCCACTCTTCTGGGAAGACTTTCCACTAGATGTTGGAACGTTGCTGCGGGGACCTGCTTCCATTTAGCCACAAGAGCATTAGTGAGGTCGGGCACTGATGTTGGGCGATTGTGCAGGTCAGTCAAGTTCTTCCACACCGATCTCGACAAACCATTTCTGTATGGACCTCGCTTTGTACACGGGGGCATTGTCATGCTGAAACAAGAAAGGGCCTTCCCCAAACTGTTGCCACAAAATTGGAAGCACAGAATCATCTAGAATGCCATTCTATGCTGTAGCGTTAAGATTTCCCTTCACTGGAACTAAGAGGCCTAGCTCGAACCATGAAAAACAGCCCCAGACAATTATTCCTCCTCCACCAAACTTTACAGTTGGCACTATGCATTCGGGCAGGTAGCGTTCTCCTGGCATCCGCCAAGCCCAGATTCGTCCATCGGACTGCCAGATGGTGAAGCGTGATTCATTACTCCGGAGAACGCGTTTCCACTGCTCCAGAGTCCAATGGCAGCGAGCTTTACACCACTCCAGCCGACGCTTGGCATTGCGCATGGTGAACTTAGGCAGGTGTGCGGCTGCTCGGCCATGGAAACCCATTTCATGACGCTCCCGACAAACAGTTCTTGTGCTGACGTTGAGTGTTGCAACCAAGGACCGAAGATTTTTTATGCGCTTCAGCACTCGGCGGTCCCGTTCTGTAAGCTTGTGTGGCCTACCACTTCGCGGCTGAGCCGTTGTTGCTCCTAGACGTTTCCACTTCACAATAATAGCACTTACAGTTGACCTGGGCAGCTCTAGCAGGGCAGAAATTTGACAAACTGACTTGTTGGAAAGGTGGCATCCTATGACGGTGCCACGTTGAAAGTCACTGAGCTCTTCAGTAAGGCCATTCTACTGCCAATGTTTGTCTATGGAGATTGCATGGCGGTGTGCTCGATTTTATACACCTGTCAGCAACGGTGTATAAAGCCGAATCCACTAATTTGAAGGGGTGTCCACATACTTTTGTATATATAATGTATATTACCTCTGCCTCTCTTCTTAGCTAAGTAGTAGAGATTGCTCTTATCTTCCACTGGTTCCACATATTGCACACTAATCAATTTGGTTTATGGTGCCCACTCAAAGCATACACATATACTCAACAAAGTGCAAGACAAGTAAAATGTAACTAAGGATTAAATACTAGACTTTAAGGCATTAAATGGGTATGACGCAGAATTACTGTAGTGACGATCAGTAGTTAGCGCATAACAGTCTGTACCTGATGAGAACATGATGAGAACCCACCGGTTGAAATGTAATCTCTCCCAGTTTCACTGTTACGCAAACGGGGAGGTTTCGATTTCAAAAGGGAAGAAACCAGAATAACCAGAAGAATAGGAGCATTTGAACCAACACTGTTGGACAAGTAGGTGTACTGTAAGCCTCACTCCAAAATAAGATAACTTATATGCCATGGTCTTAAGTACTGATGGTGGTCCAGTGTTGCTGTATTTTGGGCCAGTTAGCTGGGGTTGGGTTGGGCTGTTTCCAGAGCTTTACTGTAAACAGGTGAGGAGCAGAGGCAGTCTGCATGCTCTTCACAGGTCTGGCTGCAGTTTGGACCTCCTGCTTTATGTGAACCATTCTCCCATGAAATACAGAAACACTGTATTCTCATGTCACCACCCATGCATTATTATTATGTTTGTCCATGCTGGTGCCGTGCTGTCACTATTATTCTGTCATGTCATGCATCTCTACCCACTATTCCACAGCAAAGGGTTACAGCCCTCCACACCTAAAAGTTGCTCCGCTATAGTATCACAAGTATCACAAACGAACCACATGTTTTTTTCTTCACAAATATTGACTGATTTCGATTGAATTAACAACAATATAAATATCTTGGTACAGAACTCTCTTGGTCCTGAAGTCTTACACAGGTGGCCAATATCCTCACATATGATCTCTTTTGGACCAAACAAACGCTACCCTCAACCTCACCACCCCTCTCTGCTTTTACCTTTACATCCACTAAAGTACAATGAATAGTTACTGTCCACTGAGCAAGCGTGGAGCCAAAGGTATGCAGTATATTTGTATATGTAAAGTTTGGTCTTTATACCTGTATTCAGGTAAAGGATTGTTTTTGAAAAGTATATGTTAGATAGCGATACACTCTCTCTTGTAGTATCATATTTCCAGGAGATTAATGTGTCGTTTTGTGCTGTGCTTCAGTGGATAGTAACTCATCCTTGGACAGTAACATCAAATAATATTTACATCATCAATGTGCCTACATCGCTAAACCATAACTTACACAAGCTACCTCCAAAAGTCATTTTCCTGTCAAGTCGGAAAGAGGTGACTAGTTTCTGAACCACATGCATTATATCTGTTCCTATTGGCCACCCGATCCCACCATATCTGTAGAGAAGTCCCTCTGATAAATACATCTACACTCCTATAGTATACATATATTTACACCAACACAGCATTGAGAGCTTGTTTCAATGTCATGCGGAATTAACACCTCCCCTCTATAGAAAACTATAACTGCAACTCGGGGCTTTCAGTTTTGTTGTTGTTGTTTTACTCAGTATCTCCCGTTGCTAAATGTAAACATTCTACTCATTGATCAACCATTTTCATGGTGCTCTGTCATAGCGACTGAAGATGGACTCATTCCACTACTACGCAGTGGTGTAAGGTAACTAAGTAAAAAATACTTTGACTTAAAAGTTAAATAGTTTTTGGGGTATCTGTACTCTACTTAACTATTTATATTTTTACTTTAACTTTTACTTGTACTCAATAACATTCCTAAAGAAAATATGTACTTTTTATTCCCATAGATTTTCCCCGACACCCAAAAGTACTCGTTACATTTTGTATGCTTAGGCAGGACAGCAATATGTTCCAATTCACGCACATATCAATATAACGCATTGTCATCCCTACTGGCTCTGATCTGGTGGACTCACTAAACACAAATACTGCATTTGTAAATTATGTCTGAGCTATGGAGTGTGCCCCTGGCTGTCCGTAAAAAAGAAAGAAAAAATAAAATTGTGCGGTCTGGTTTGCTTAATATACGTAATTTGATGTATAGCATTTACTTTTACTCAAGTCTGACAATATAGTACTTTTTGCACCACTGTACTTAAGTACATTTAAAACCAGATACTTTTAGAACAAGTAGTATTTTACTGGGTGACTTTTACTTGAGTCATTTTCTATTAAGGTATCTTTACTTTGACTCACGTATGATAATTGAGTACTTTTTCCATCACTGCTCGTACGTGTGTGGACTCTGTCTTTGAAAAGGAACCCCCAGTGAAAGGGAGGAGGGGTGCTGCTTTAAGGCCACACAGACATGGATTGTGTCGAGTGGCTTGAGTCTGGTTCGCCTCCCCTGCACCAATTGAAAGAGCTATGGCCATCCCTGCAAAACCCATGGCACTCTACCCTGCTTCAGTTAAAGCAGTCTAGCTGGACCCAAAACCATGTTACGCAGCCAGCTGGAATGAATAGAATGCCACTGCAACACTTAGTTTCTACACACCTGTCTGTCACTTTCTCTTTCGCTCTCCCTCTTTTCCGACATGCTGGTTTACATTCTGAACATTCTTCCTACTATGAAATCTCTCCTGTCTTACTTCCTTCATCACTTCCTTGACCAATACAATATTTTATTTTCTCTCCTTCTCTTCCTCGTTTGTCCAGTGAGTGTGTATAACATTTGAGTGTGCAATAGGAGGTTGATGTTAACTGGGTGTCTTCCAGGCTCCAGGCCATACACAACCCGTGTGGTGCCTTTGTTACAGTACTGTATGTGTATGTTTTGTCTTCGTGAGAGACCACGTGTGTGTGTTTTGCGCATGCATGTAGTTATATGTACAGTTCATGTTTCAGTATGTGTGTGTATGTGTTTTGTATGTAAATGTGTGTATATCGGGTATGTCTACAGATCCCTTAGGTATTAGTGATCCAGTGACAATGACCAGGTCCCAACCTTTGGCCTGGGCCTTGTCCTGTAGTAGGTGTGTATTATAATAACTATAATGTATATCAATGTTTTGACTAGTAGTCCTGTCTCTGCTCTCATGTGTCCTCTAGAAGCCCTCTATGTGGCAGTAGGCCTCCAGGCTGGAGAAGAGGACGTAGAGGAACCAGAGGCCCAGGAAGAGGAGGCTGGTGATGATGCGTGCTGTCCGCGGCCCGCCCAGCTCCCCCCCGATAGAGGGCCGCCGTCGGAACAGCAGCACGCCCATGCAGATGAAGGCGAAGCTGGTGAAGAGAGTGACGGAGAAGGCCAGGGAGCCCGGGTCCACGCGGAACTCCTTGCCCTGCACCTTCCAGTAGACGGCTGCCACCGACCACGCCACCCCGATGCCCAGGAACACGTTGACCGCGTTGCTGCCCGTCACGTTGCCCACCGACGCATCAGCGTGCTGGTCCTGCGTGGCCGCCACCTTGCTGGCAAACGTGTCTGAGGGAGGAGGGGAGGGAGGTAAGGAGAGACGTGAGAGAAGTGAGAGATAGGTGAAGTACCTGTCATCACAGCTGTCAAGAGGCTGTGACTAGGTGATGATGAGCAGCTTTCAGCATCTTAGTCACACTGTTGTCATAACTAAGTCAACCATAGACAACACCTGTTACCGTAAACATGTTTCATTGTAGTCACACTGTGATGGAAAGTTTTGTTTTTGTGCTTTTCTAATAATACATTTCTGTGTTCTATTCATGTGTTTTTCTAATAACCGTTTTCTGTGTTCATGCAAGTGACTGAGTGAATCCTCACTATCAGTATCTGCAATTTGGCAGTACGCCCAGTCCCTTGTTTTGAGAACGAAAGACATTTGTTCACATTCCTGTTAGTCAGCATTTCTCCTTTGCCAATATAATCCATCCACCTGACAGGTGTGGTATATCAAGAAGCTGATTAAACAGCATGATCATTACACAGGTGCACCTTGTGCTGGGGACAATATAAGGCCACTAAAATTTCGCAGTTTTGTCGCACAACACAATGCCACAGATGTCTCAAGTTTTGAGGGAGCATGCAATTGGCATGCTGACTGCAGGAATGTCCACCAGAGCTGTTGCCAGATAATTCCATGTTAATTTCTCTACCATTAGCCGTCTCCAACATTGTTTTAGAGAATTTGGCAGTACGTCCAACTGGCCTAACAACCGTAGACCACGTGTATGGTGTCGTGTGGGCGAGTGGTTTGCTAATGTCAACGTTGTGAACAGAGTGCCCCATGGTGGTGGTGGGGTTATGGTATGGGCAGGCATAAGCTATGGACAATGAACACAATTGCATTTTATCGATGGCAATTTGAATGTACAAAAATACTGTGACGAGATCCTGAGGCCCATCTTTTTTTAAGGTATCTGTGACCAACAGATGCATATCTGTATTCCCAGTCATGTGAAATCCATAGGTAAGGGCCTAATTTATTTATTTCAACTGACTGATTTCCTCATATGAACTGTAACTCAGAAAATCAATGAAATTGTTGCATGTTGCGTTTATATTTGTGTTCAGTATACAGTGGGGGGAAAAAGTATTTAGTCAGCCACCAATTGTGCAAGTTCTCCCACTTAAAAAGATGAGAGAGGCCTGTAATTTTCATCATAGGTACACGTCAACTATGACAGACAAATTGAGAAAAAATAGTCCAGAAAATCACATTGTAGGATTTTTTATGAATTTATTTGCAAATTATGGTGGAAAATAAGTATTTGGTCACCTACAAACAAGCAAGATTTCTGGCTCTCACAAACCTGTAACTTCTTCTTTAAGAGGCTCCTCTGTCCTCCACTCGTTACCTGTATTAATGGCACCTGTTTGAACTTGTTATCAGTATAAAAGACACCTGTCCACAACCTCAAACAGTCACACTCCAAACTCCACTATGGCCAAGACCAAAGAGCTGTCAAAGGACACCAGAAACAAAATTGTAGACCTGCACCAGGCTGGGAAGACTGAATCTGCAATAGGTAAGCAGCTTGGTTTGAAGAAATCAACTGTGGGAGCAATTATTAGGAAATGGAAGACATACAAGACCACTGATAATCTCCCTCGATCTGGGGCTCCACGCAAGATCTCACCCCATGGGGTCAAAATGATCACAAGAACGGTGAGCACAAATCCCAGAACCACACGGGGGGACCTAGTGAATGACCTGCAGAGAGCTGGGACCAAAGTAACAAAGCCTACCATCAGTAACACACTACGCCGCCAGGGACTCAAATCCTGCAGTGCCAGACGTGTCCCCCTGCTTAAGCCAGTACATGTCCAGGCCCATCTGAAGTTTGCTAGAGTGCATTTGGATGATCCAGAAGAGGATTGGGAGAATGTCATATGGTCAGATGAAACCAAAATAGAACTTTTTGGTAAAAACTCAACTCGTCGTGTTTGGAGGACAAAGAATGCTGAGTTCCATCCAAAGAACACCATAACTACTGTGAAGCATGGGGGTGGAAACATCATACTTTGGGGCTGTTTTTCTGCAAAGGGACCAGGACGACTGATCCGTGTAAAGGAAAGAATGAATGGGGCCATGTATCGTGAGATTTTGAGTGAAAACCTCCTTCCATCAGCAAGGGCATTGAAGATGAAACGTGGCTGGGTCTTTCAGCATGACAATGATCCCAAACACACCGCCCGGGCAACGAAGGAGTGGCTTCGTAATAAGCATTTCAAGGTCCTGGAGTGGCCTAGCCAGTCTCCAGATCTCAACCCCATAGAACATCTTTCACTGCTCTAGAGGAGATTTGCATGGAGGAATGGGCCAAAATACCAGCAACAGTGTGTGAAAACCTTGTGAAGACTTACAGAAAACGTTTGACCTGTGTCATTGCCAACAAAGGGTATACAACAAAGTATTGAGAAACTTTTGTTATTGACCAAATACTTATTTTCCACCATAATTTGCAAATAAATTCATGAAAAATCCTACAATGTGATTTTCTGGATTTTTTTTCCTCATTTTGTCTGTCATAGTTGACGTGTACCTATGATGAAAATTACAGGCCTCTCTCATCTTTTTAAGTGGGAGAACTTGCACAATTGGTGGCTGACTAAATACTTTTTTCCCCCACTGTATATACAGTACCAGTCAAAAGTTTGGACACACCTACTCATTCAACGGTTTTTCTTTATTTTTACTATTTTTTACATTGTAGAATAATAGTGAAGACATCAAAACTATGAAATAACACATATGGAATCATGTAGTAAGCAAAAAAGTGTTAAACAAATCATAATATATTTTATTTTTGAGATTCTTCAAATAGCCACCCTTTGCCTTGATGACAGCTTTGCTCACTCTTGGCATTCTCTCAACCAGCTTCATGAAGTAGTCACCTGGAATGCATTTCAGTTAACAGGTGTGCCTTCTTAAAAGTTAATTTGTGGAATGTCTTTCCTTCTTAATGCGTTTGAGCCAATCAGTTGTGTTGTGACAAGGTAGAGGTGGTATACAGAAGATAGCCCTATTTGGTAAAATACCAAGTCCATATTATGGCAAGAACAGCTCAAATAAGCAAAGAGAAATGACAGTCCATCATTACTTTAAGACATAAAGGTCAGTCAATAAGGAACATTTCAAGAACTTTTAAAGTTTCTTCAAGTGCAGTTGCAAAAACCATCAAGCGCTATGATGAAACTGGCTCTCATGAGGACTGCCACAGGAATGGAAGACCCAGAGTTACCTCTGCTGCAGAGGATAAATTCATTAAAGTTACCAGCCTCAGAAATTGCAGCCCAAATAAATGCTTCACAGAGTTCAAGTAACAGACACATCTCAACATAAACTATTCAGAGAGTACTGTGTGAATCAGGCTGCAAAGAAACCACTACTAAAGGACACCAATAATAAGAAGAGACCTGGTTGGGCCAAGAAACACGAGCAATGGACATTAGACCGGTGGAAATTTGTCCTTTGGTCTGGAGTCCAAATTTGAGATTTCTGGTTCCAACTGCCGTGTCTTTGTGAGACGCAGTGTGGGTGAACGGATTATCTCCACATGTGTATTTCCCACCGTAAAGCATGGAGGAGGTGTTATGGTGTGGGGGTGCTTTGCTGGTGTCTGTAATTTATTTAGAATTCAAGGCACACTTAACCAGCATGGCTACCTACAGCATTCTACAGCGATACGCCATCCCATCTGGTTTGGGCTTAGTGGGACTATCATTTGTTTTTCAACAGGACAAAGACCCAACACACCTCAAGGGCTATTTTACCAAGAAGGAGAGTGATGGAGTGCTACATCAGATGACCTGGCCCCCACAATCACCTGACCTCAACCCAATTGAGATGGTTTTGGATGAGTTGGACCGCAGAGTGAAGGAAAAGCAGCCAACAAGTGCTCAGCATATGTGGGAACTCCTTCAAGACTGTTGGAAAAGCATTCCAGGTGAAGCTGGTTGAGAGAATGCCAAGAGTTTGCAAAGCTGTCATCAAGGCAAAGGGTGGCTATTTGATAGATGAATTTGTATGTTTATGGTAATGACTAAAATTGTTCCACCCCGATACTGTATGACTGTGTAAACTGTGTTAGAGTTATAAGGTAGTAATAAACCCACTAACAGAGGAGGGGGTTAGAAACTGCTGAGACAAACATTCAAGGAGGAAGGAGACTGTCACGAGGGTCTATGTCGTTCAAGTATGACCAAGGCGCAGCGTGTCCAAGAAACATGACTTTAATAGAGTAAAGCACGTAATACAAAACAAAAGACGACTCAACATGAAGTCCACGGTACACAGACCGAAACGGAACAAAAACCCACCATACCCACAGGAAAACATACAGAATAAATATGGCTCCCAATCAGAGATAACGAGCCGACAGCTGACACTCGTTACCTCCGATTGGGAGTCATCGACCAAACCTAGAAATACAACCACCAGAAATGCAAACATAGAAATACACCCAAATGCCCAACATAACCAAACCAAAACCCAACAACACAAAATACACCCTGGCTCAAATACAAACGTCCCGGAGCCAGAGTGTCACAGTACCCCCCCCCTAAAGGTGCGCACTCCGGGCGCACCAGCATACAGTCTAGGGGAGGGTCTGGGTGGGCGTCTGTCCACGGTGGCGGTTCTGGCCCTGGTCGTGGTCCCCACCCCACCTTAGTCACTATCCGCTTCCGTAGCCTCCTCCACATGACCACCCCCCAACTAAACCCCACTGGATTAAGGGGCGGCACCGGACTAACGGGCAGCACCGGACTAAGGGGCAGCACCGGACTAAGGGGCAGTACCGGACTAAGGGGCAGCACCAGGATAAGGGACAGCACCGGACTCACTGGCGGATCCTGGCTGGCTGGCTCTGGCGGGTCCTGGCTGGACGGCTCTGGCGGATCCTGGCTGGACGGCTCATGGCTGGCTGAAGGATCTGGCTGCTCATGGCTGGCTGACGGATCTGGCTGCTCATGGCTGGCCGACGGATCTGGCTGCTCATGGCTGGCCGACGGATCTGGCTGCTCATGGCTGGCCGACGGATCTGGCTGCTCATGGCTGGCCGACGGATCTGGCTGCTCATGGCTGGCCGACGGATCTGGCTGCTCATGGCTGGCCGACGGATCTGGCTGCTCATGGCTGGCCGACGGATCTGGCTGCTCATGGCTGGCTGACGGATCTGGCTGCTCATGGCTGGCTGACGGATCTGGCTGCTCATGGCTGGCTGACGGATCTGGCTGCTCATGGCTGGCTGACGGATCTGGCTGCTCATGGCTGGCGGAAGGCTCTGGCTGATCCTGTCTGGAGGAAGGCTCTAGCGGCTCCGGTCTGGCGGACGGCTCCGGCTCATGGCAGACGGGCGGCTTAAGCGCCTTTGGGCAGACGGGCAGTTCAGGCCCCGTTGGGCAGACGGCAGACTCTGGCCGTCTGAGGCGCACCGTAGGCCTGGTGCGTGGTGCCGGAACTGGAGGTACCGGGCTGAGGACACGCATCTCAGGGCTAGTGCGGGGAGAAGCAACAGGGTATGCTGGACCCTGGGGACGCACATAAGGGCTAGTGCGGAGAGCCGGAACAGGGCATACTGGACCCTGGGGACTCTCATAACGCCTAGTGCGGAGAGCAGCAACAGGACGCACAGGACTCGGGGAACACACAGGAGGCTTGGTGCGTGGTGTAGGCACTGGTGGTACTGAGCTGGAGCGGGGAGGTGGCGCCGGAAATACCGGACCGTGCAGGCTTACTGGCCCCCTTGAGCACTGAGCCTGCCCAACCTTACCCGGGTTGATGCTCCCCGTCGCCCGACCAGTACGGGGAGGTGGAATAACCCGCACCGGCCTATGTGGGCGAACCGGGAACACCATGCGTAAGGCTGGTGCCATGTACGCCGGCCCGAGAAGACGCACTGGTGGCCTGATGCGTTGGGCCGGCTTCATGACATTCGGCTCAGTGCTCACTCTAACCCGGCCGATACGTGGAGCTGGAATGTACATCGTGGACCTGGTGCGTGGAGTAGGAACAGGCCGAGCTGGGCTGGCGACGCACATCGTGGACCTGGTGCGTGGAGTAGAAACAGGCCGGTCCGTACCGGGAACACACACCACTGGCCTTAACTGGGGATCAGGAACGGGCCGGACCGGACTGGTAACACACCTCAGTCTCTCATGCCGTGCCACAACAACTTCCCTCCCTCTACTCGCCAATGGCTCCCGTAATCCGATAGCCTTCTCTCCACATCTCCCTGTGGCAGCCTCCTGCTGCCCAACCGCCCAAGCCATGTGCCCCCCCCCAAAAACGTTTTGGGGTTGCCTCTCGTCCCTCCGACGATGGCCCTGCCGACGCCGTTGTTCCTCTCTCCGTCGCCTCTCCACTGTCTCGCTCCATGGACGGCGATCCATCCCCTCCAGGATTTCCTCCCAAGTCCAGGACCCTTTTCCGTCCAAAATCTCCTCCCATGTCCAGACCTTTGGAGCTGGGTCCTGTTGCCGCTTGACCCGCTGCTTGGTCCTCTTATGGTGGGTTTTTCTGTCACGAGGGTCTATGTCGTTCAAGTATGACCAAGGCGCAGCGTGTCCAAGAAACATGACTTTAATAGAGTAAAGCACGTAATACAAAACAAAAGACGACTCAACATGAAGTCCACGGTACACAGACCGAAACGGAACAAAAACCCACCATACCCACAGGAAAACATACAGAATAAATATGGCTCCCAATCAGAGATAACGAGCCGACAGCTGACACTCGTTACCTCCGATTGGGAGTCATCGACCAAACCTAGAAATACAACCACCAGAAATGCAAACATAGAAATACACCCAAATGCCCAACATAACCAAACCAAAACCCAACAACACAAAATACACCCTGGCTCAAATACAAACGTCCCGGAGCCAGAGTGTCACAGAGACCTAGAAACTGGTTAATCATTCTATACTGTGGAAATGTACAGGCCGCCTAAAGGTGGGCGGAGCAAAGTTCCTTTGTGTGAAGGCATATAAAAAGGGTGTGTGTGTGTTTTTGGCGGCAGAGTGCTCTCTGAATAAACATACTGATTCTTGCAGACTGGTAAAAATGTTTAATTCATTATTAAACCAGAGCCTTACACCCTTTGGGAATTATTCAAAGCTTAGTAATGATTAGAGATAGAAATTCTCGTGACACTATTTGAAGAATCTCAAATATAAAATATATTTTGATTTGTTTAACACTTTTTTGTTTACTACATGATTCCATTTGTGTTATTTCATAGTTTTGATGTCTTCACTATTATTCTACAATGTAAAAAAAATTTTTTATAAAGAAAAATCCTTGAATGAGTAGGTGTGTCCAAACTTTTGACTTGTAGTGTATATCATCTCTCACCAGGAATGGAGGTACCCAGAGCCACAAACACCACGGCAGTGACAGTGTCTCTGAGGCCCACGGTGCAGCCGAAGTGGGAGGCTAGGTCCCCAATGATGGCAGTCAGGATGCCGATGACTGAGATGGACACGAAGAAGCAGGCCCAGCCATTCCAGTACTCGGTGGGCGGAACGAAGGCGAACAGAACCTTCCAGAACACCGTCAGGAAGTGCATGACGTAGTCATAGCAGGATGGCAGACGCTCCTCACGCCCCTCCTCGTCATCGTCATCACCATCACCTGGGACACAGTAAAACATAAGAGACACATACACAAACACACCCATGCACTCATACACAGGTGCACACCAGTGGTGTTTGTGCCATTTAAGATGAGGGAGGACAATAAATACTTTTATGAGCATGGCCTTATATCTATTACAGCATATTGGATGAATGTCATTCATATTCCATTCACCCAGCTCAACGTAACATCGATAGGTTTAGGCTATTACACGATACTCTACTTTTCCCTATACCCATCATGAGATTGCTACAACCTAGCCTATGAAAGTTTACAACCTAGATGTACAGGTCGAGAGAAAAATTAGATTAATCAAAGTGACAGACAGTGACACATTCAGTACCGCCTTGCACACTAATGCTTGCATCTAGCTGATCTAGGGTGTATTGATTAGTCCAACAGTTGCAAACGACAGTTTATATTGGACAATTTCAGGTATGTTTATCCCCGTTTCGTTCCATTTGCTTCTGTTTAAGAAACATTTTTCAACAGAATCGGTGGAATGAATACACTCATGATCACACGCAAACACAGTTCACTTTCATAGCAGCCACATACAAACAGCATGATCACTTTGCTCGTTGTATATTCCTTCTCACATCTACACGCTCTCCTCCTCTCACCTTTTCCCTTCGCTTGTGGACTTCAGTGCACAACACATCAGCTGTCTGTGACCAGGCAAAAAAAACTTTCCAAGCCAAACCTTCATATCATAAAAGCTAACCGCTACACACAGCCTACATAATTGTCACCAAATTAGCTAACGGAACATAGTCAACATAGCTAATAGAACTAACGCGTTAATAAACCCGCTACAATCATGCAGTACAGTGTACAGTCAGCAAGCAGTTTAGCAGTTACACCAGTGGGCCCCGGTGGCAATAAATTAATCAAACCAAAAGCTTACCTTGACTTGGAAGAGTTCGTGTTGGATAGCCAAGACAGCTAGCTAACATAGCATCCCTCTTTGTTTGAGCTGGGTGTTTGAGTAGGCTAATCTAGCTTGCTGCATTCGCTAGCTAAGTAAGTGAAAGTGAATAAAAAATACAACGAAATATAGCTAGCTCTCTATCTCTCTCTCGCTCTCTCTCTCTCGCTTCTCCTTCATTTTTGAAAAAAATAATTTGCTGTTGAACTATTATCTTTCTCTCTCTTTGAGTCAACTACTCACCACATTTTATGCAGTGCTAGCTGTAGCTTATGCTTTCAGTACTAGATTCATTCTCTGATTCTTTGATTGGGTGGACAACATGTCAGTTCATGCTGCAAGAGCTCTGATAGGTTGGAGGACGTCCTCCGGAAGTTGTCATTATTACTGTGTAACTAGCTGTCCTCCAGCTACACTATGGTGCTACCCTACAGAGTGCTGTTGAGGTTACTGTGGACCACTGCAAAACAGTGTGTTTGAATCAATTGTTTGGTGACATGTGAGTATATTTATAGTATAATATTATCTAAAAAGGATAACGTTTTTAATGCTTCATTATTTTTATTTTTATTAAATTCACTCAGGAGGATGGTCCTCCCCTTCCTCTTCTGAGGAGCCTTCACTGGCGCACACACACACACACACACACACACACACACACACACACGCACACACACGCACACACACACACGCGCGCACACGCGCGCGCGCACACGCACACACACGCACACACACCACGTTTTGTGTATTACTTTGTGTATTTTTGGATTACGGTGAGACATGTTTGTCTGTAATTAATATAACTGTCCACCAGGGAGCGCTATTACACCAGACACAGACATCTCTCCCATTATCTCAACACTGTGGAAGAAAGCTTTGCTTTCTAAAGTCACTATTACATTTTATAATAGATATTACCAACATAAATATTACAGAAACCTTGTTATATGAAGTCTGATGGTTTGCAATTATCACCTTTCAAACAAGTTATTTCCTGTTATAATGAGGTTCCGAAATGAAGGGACAGTGTCCTCACATGTTACATGTCACACTTAACAAGCAAGCTAACACTCACTTCCTAAATGAAAAGCTTGGCTGCTCTTTGGAAGAAAAATAAAGGACTCCAAATATCTGATGTAATTATGGCTCTGGACAAAAAGCCCTCAGACCGCTATTCAATGCATGAGCGAGTAATTACATTCATAAAGCAGCTGTAAAGTCCTTCATTATGGCTCTAGTCAGTGTATGTGTATAATACAATGTTAACAGTGAGACTCACCTTATTCATCTTTCTCTCACTCAATAGAAATCACACACACGCACACAAACACACACGCACGCACGCACACACACACACACAAAAAAAACAAAAGCTGACCTGCGCTGACAGTCACAGCTTCCACGAACTGCTCCCTCCAGGAGTGAGTGCCAATCACAAGAGCCAAGTTGGTCTTCTTAATGAGCTTGTCAACGGTGCTCTGCCAATCACAAACAAAGAGGGCATTGTCAACGTCCTATTATAGAGAAGAACGCAAACTCATTTGTGTGACCGGAACTCTAATGAAGAACGCCTAGAAGAGTTAGAGACAGTGGCATCGTTACCATGAGAAGTGCAGTAATATTTGGTATTTTATTAGGATCCCCATTAGCTGTTGCGATAGCAGCAGCTACTCTTTCTGGGGTCCATGTCTGGGGTCATATGAATTCTCAATAGCAGTATTTGGTTTCACTGTAACCACTCACACACACACACACACACACACACACGATGCCACATCTGTATATAAGGACACTCCTCCCAAGCAAGCACAGCAAACCACATGCTGAGTCCTGGGATCCACTCAGACAGTAAAGGAAAGCATCATATCCAGCACTCAAGTCCGACTGTACCAAACTGTAACTTCCTCCTACTCAATCAAACCAATAAAACCATTCTATGAAGCACCCTAGCTAAACCCAACTGGATAGGAGGTTTCATTGGATAGAAAGGTCTCACCACTGTGGGTAAACCTCTGCAAGACTGGGGACTATAGGCGATGGACATCAGCCTTTAGAAAACTGGTAAATACTGTTATATTTAATAATGAGTATGGTTACATGCACACAATAATATGATTATTGTGGATAGTCGGATTAATATAATAGTTTCTTTAAAATATTTACATGCTTTGCAAGAAGAACGATTTTCTGAATAATCATGTTTAAGGCTACCTGATGTCAGGCTACCTGATGTCAGGCTACCTGATGTCAGGCTACCTGATGTCAGGCTACCTGATGGGGTAAATAAACGTTCTACCACAGAAGCCAGGTTATAAATGCGTAGATGAAATGCACCGCTAGAACAATGATTAAGTTCACATGTCCTAATTATTGGAAAGATTGCTCAGTGTTTAATCGGTGTATGTTTACTTCGATTTGACATCACACCGGATGAAGATAAACAGAGTAAGTGTTTACATGACTATTGCCATTGTCGGCTACCATAATCAGTTTAATATCGAATTATTAGTGCACATGTAAACCAGTGGATGCTGGTGGGAGGAGCTATAGGAGGACGGGCTCATTGTAATGGCTGGAATGGAATCAATGGAACAGAGTCAAACGTGTGGTTTCCATATGTTTGACCTGTTTGATAAGATTCGATTTATTCCATTCCAGCCATTACAATGAGCCCACCCTCCTATAGCTCCCCCCACCAGCCTCCACTGATGTGAAAGTACTCTTTGACTGCCATGATATAGGAGCTGCCTGGGCATACAGTATGTGATGCTCAGCGGTAGTAGTGTTTACTTCTTGTTTTCTAAATGTGGAAACGTCATCACCTGTGTAAACATTTCTCACTGGTCTTTTTTGTGCATATCCATTCACCCATCCATAGAGCAAACAATGCTATTAAATTATGTGACATTGATCTAGGATTTCATAAAGCCAAGTTCCAGTCATTGAAATTACTTGAGAGTTCAATTACCTGTTGTGTTTGTTTTGTGCTACTACAAATGATGAGTGACAAGCGCAATCTTATTGTAAATAATAAATTCATCTTTATCAAGTCAAAAGAGGCACACGGACTGAGTGGATTAAATCCCTAGGCATGGTGATATAGGACTTCAATGAGCTAGCTGTCATCCGTCACAACCGTTGGTTCACTTGATGAAAAATTGATTAATCAATTAGCTTAAACACCAACCCTTCTGAGGACAGACACTGAGCACAGTGGAGGGTCGTTCCACCTCAAAAAATCGATTGCAAGTCGATGGTACCTATATTAGCATTTTCACGCTTCATGCCCAAATCATCCTAAAGTATCTAAAAATGGATTGTGTAACTCAATAATGTTACTTATAGATTATTTGGATACGAAGCGTGAAAATGCTAATATTGGTACCATTAACTTGCATTGGATTTTTTGAAGTGGAACGACCCTCCACTGTGCTCAATGTCTGTCCTCAGAATGGTTGGTGTTAATCCACTGTGTGGCTCTGGGGCTGTATGTTATCTTGGATCAGTTTTGCCTAGTAGATAACAATGAATAAGATGATATGGACATGATGGAACTGATCCTAGATCCTGAGATGCTTGATACATATACTGAGCTCTGATGTGGCCAATAGAGTGAAGCAGGGGAGAAGAGGGGCTACATACCTTGAACTCATAAGACTCCTCAATGACCACTTCCAGCCGGCTGTGCTCTCCCAAGATGGGCTTTCCCATCTCTGCAATGCGCCTCGCCTCCTCCTTCTCTGCACTCATCTGGCCATCAGGATCCTCTAAGAGATAGAAGGAGAGAGGAGGGATGAGATAGATAGAACAGTGAAGGGGGTGAGAGAGGAGAGGGGGGTGAGGGAAGAGATAGAGAGAGAAATTGTAACTCAAACATGCCAACATGCCTCACAAATAGATCTTTCAAGGCCAGAGTCCTTTCAATAATTTAGTTTGAGTCAGCATTATCTCTTCTTCATACAGTATATCACTCATGTGTATTAGCCCATGTATGTGGAGACGTGTGTGAGTGGGGGAGGGAGACAGTCAGAGAGAAGGAGAGATGAGAGGTTGGTGGTGAATGTGTGGGTGTGATGGGGAAGCAAGAGGGAAAAAGAGAAGAGATAAGGAGAGATTAGTGGGGTAGATTCATGAGAAGATGAAAGTAGAACTGGGAGATGTAACTTTGTAATTTTGTTAGAGAAAGAAATGGAGAAAGAAACAGACAGAAGGTGAGTGGAAATTAGGGTAGATTTATGCTGACTTGAGGTGGGCAGAGACCAATGTTCCAATAGTGTGATTTAGTGGCTGTCAATCAAATATTCTTGAGGTGGACCAATAGGGCCATCAGAAAGCCCCATCTAAAATAACACCTCAAGCACACTATAAACAGCTGGGCTAAACCCATTCTCCCTGCTTCCATTCAGCATCATATTCCCTGTCTACTTATAGCATATAATTACTAATCCTTTCATTGGAGGGACAACAAAGACGGTGAGCCGCGAAGACGCACAGGAAGCTTTGTTTGTGTGTCATCGTCGCCGCGTGGTGAGTGGGCAGATATTATTCCTCTTTTAGTTCCTCTCCTCTGCCTTCAAAGCACAAGCTGTAATTATGGAAGGAGTAGAGCGCTGCCAGGCACCACATGGCAACTGTCCCACTGTACTCCCCCAAAGCTCCAGCTCTTTCACCGTGTTGCTCTAACAGGGTTACACCAGGGATCCTAATAAATACTAAATACTAATACTAAATACTAATACACTCTAATGATGATGACGTATACTGCTGGTCTGCGGTTACTGTGGGTACATTACTGCATCGTCAGCTCAGGGCCCATATTCACAAAGCATCTCAGAGTAGGAATGCTGATCTAGAATCAGATCCCCCCCATCTCTTCTCCATCTATTATTCATTATGATCTAAACTGCAAAACTGATTCTAGATCAGCACTCCTACTCTGAGACGCTTTATGAATATGGACCCTGATTGGGTAGGGCTCTTCAACACCTCCTTAAGATGTGCATTCGAATAAAGTGTGGCATGGGACACTGTTAGATTACTGTAGAACAACAGTATAATATTTATCCAAGAGAGGACAGTTGAGCGAGATATACCTATATAATATTTATCCAGGGATGGATACAAATCGATGTAAGAGTGATGCATTTTATGGAGCGATCAGGTCCTCTTAAGGTTCCTTGGAGAACTCTTGCCCGATAAAGAACCTTTGAGTTAAGTTTGGGGTTCTTGACGTGGCATCTACGGTTCTTCAGAATTCTAAAAGGTTCTTGAAATGTATGGAAGCCTGCAGACGTGTCCCTTTCATAGCATACAGGAAATTGGCCAGTGTTAACTAGTGTTGATTAAAGAGTTAAATGAACACTGTAAAGAGTTAAATTAACACCCAGTGGTGTAAAAGAACCCCAGTGTTGGTGTTAATAACCAGAGTTGAACCAAAACCACATCCTTTATTATCATATTTCCCAGCATGCTCTATTGCAGGTAGATTTTTAGAATTGTTTGTTTCAATATCTATGTTTTTGCATGTACATTGATTGATTCATTAAAAGGTAGACTCGGCGATATGATGTAGATGCAGAAAGTAAACAGCATAGTGGGTCAATTTCCGCAACAACTAAGAGCGTAAAGCGCAAGGCTCAATTTATCCGCTTGTCCAGTGGCTCCCACGCTGTGAAAGAGCGTGAAGCGAACCCGTGCACATGTGCAGATACTCTGTGTGACTGTGTGAGAGTAAAGTCTTGCATCTCACTCATCTCAATATCTGCTGTGCTGCTTGTGGCAACATCATTTTTGCTAAGTCCACCTTGGTGGTCCTCTGTAGCTCAATTGGTAGAGCATGGCGCTTGTAACGCCAGCGTAGTGGGTTCGATCCCCGGTACCACCCATACGTAAAAATGTATGCGCACATGACTGTATAATATAAATAACATACTTTTTTCTAAACTATTCCAATCTGTTACTTGGATTTATTGCACCCGATACTGAAATGGTTGTTCCAGTTTAGATGTTTAAGGTAGTCTAATATCTTAGTCTTCCCAACCCTGGCAGTCATTCTGAAAGCAGGTTGTGGGTGAATAAAATTCAAAATGTTGGATATCCCCACTTTGGCTGGATTCCAATTGGAATTACACATCACTTTGCAAGCCAAGATTAGGGTAAAACTAGGCCCTCAGAAGAAGGCCTTATGAAATATGTATTGTATTGTCTTGTCTTAAAGAATGTAATTTTAATTACAACGTATTCACTTAGGATCTTACTTGATGAAAGCAACAGGACTAAAAAAAAATGAATTCAACAATCATGTCTCTGTCACTAGCAAACACAGTCATGGGTGGTACTGGTAACTCTAACATTCACTCAAAAGGCACCCTGGGAAATATGCAAATAAGGCTTAAAACTCTACAGCAGGGCTATTCAATTCTGGTCCTGGAGGGCCGAAACATTTCTGGTTTGGGATTTTTGTATGGTTCTTCAAAGAGCCATCCCATTTATGGTTCTTCATAGACCCTTAAATTGATGTTGTTCTATAGTGTACCAACTCATGTTTGCTGTTGTTTTTATGGATGATTCTGAACCTAAACCAATTCCCCCCTTGGGCCTTTAGGGGTAATAACATTTTCTATGTCTGCTGTTTCTAGGCTGGTTATGTGAAGCAAGTTGCTGATGGTCTTACCTTGGTTGAGCAGAAGGGCTAGAAGAAAGAACAGAACAGTCAGTACAGTACAAGTCAAAGTGCAGTATGACATGCTATCAACACCATACACTTCCCTGGCCTTGTGAGATTCACCAAGTAAGAAGCTTCTGATGTCACGACGGCCATGTGGTGTGGCCCAGTGTGCTGAAACTCTTCGAGTGCCTCACTTCAGTAAAAAATGTGATTTACATGAAAAATGATATATATCGAGAGATATATCTCTCTATATCTATATCGTAGTATACTATCTCTCTCTATCTGCTATAGATCTCTATCTCCTATCCTCTATATCTAGCTCTCTAGATATATCGCTCGCTAGGAGATATATATCTCTGATACTCGTCTACTCTCTCTCTATCTTCTCTCTCTCTCTCTTCTCCTCTCGCTCTCTTTATCCCTTCCCTCTCCCCTTTTCATATCCACCTGTTGTGGTCCTCTGTAAACCAATTGGTAACATGGCCTTGTAATGCCCAGGGGAGTGGGTTCGATCCCGGGACCACCAATACGTAAAAATGTATGCGCCATACTGTAAGTCGCTTTAGATAAAAAGGTCTGCTAAATGGCATATTATTACAATGGAGACTGAGAGAGAGTTGGCTGGTCCAAAACCCGGCTGCAAAGGTTCAAATTTAGGTTCCCGCCTGATATTGGGAAAATGGTAGGGGAATAGGACACATAACACACACTACAAATACACACCCATTCAAAAAGCAAAGCACCACACACTACAAGACACACACCTGAGATTCCCCTCTTCAGCCGCGCGGTTCCTCAGAGATGAAAAAGTTCTCCTTTTCCTATCTCACATCAATGATCCTACCTGCAGGGGGGGTGCTGCACACACCGACACACAACACACCCAAAAGGCGTATCAGAGGTCAACATCTCTGAGGTCAAAACACACAATTTACCTAAGTAGAGCCACAAGGC